TTTATGCACCAAGAGCTTGTAACACTCCAAAGAGAAAGGAAAAATTTAAATTGCATCATATGACCCCTTTAACATAGGTTAAACTTGTGCGCGCATGCATTTAGAGCGCCTTTTCACTGCATGAATCAGTCTATTAAAATGCGTTCAGAATTCACATAATTCAAGATACGGGGGATGCATTTTTAATACAACTGTTGTTTTGTTCAGAGTTCAGACCAATGCAAAAATCGACCCATGTTTTTACCCTGCAAACACTCAGAGCTTTAAATATGAACTGGTGGATCGATAAGAAGACGATGCATTTTAAAAATCTAAACAGTAAGGTGTGCGATATAGGCCTATGGTCTGCGATAATATCGTAATTGTAGTTTTAACTATTATTAGCGATTTGACTATATCGTGAAAAGCAAACAAAACACCTACAGAGTGCACGCAAACATTACATGATGAAGTCAAGTTAGTAAGAGAGTGCCGTTTTTTTCTCCAAAAGTCAGCATGATTACAAATGTGATATAGATTTGATACAACAGTTCAATAAACAAGAAGTTAACATTAAGAGACTTACGTTTTAGACACCTTATTTCCTGCTTTTGCTCTATTTCGCCAACAAAAATAATTCCAAACACAGCCACAGCACTGTTTTGCGTCTCTGAGCAACATGACGCTGTTTTGTTCCTGAATGAATCAACAGTTAGTGGTTCTCAACCCGCGGCCCGTCACGAATTCAAATGCGGCCCACCGTGCTGAACACAATAATAAAAAAAATAACTTTCAGTTTTACAATTCATTTTAGTTTTTACATTAATTTAAAAATGTTCTAAACAAATATAAGCTATAATGTTTTTGTTATGTAAAATAATTTTGTTTTTCATATAGGCCTATTATTTTCAGACATGAGCAGACCTGTAGGCTACTTACGTAGCCTAATTAACGTTACGCATTTAACGAACACTTACAAGCGCGCACTTTGGCAGAATTCAATTCAAATTGTCATCAGCAGCCATTAGTTCAGTAAAATTGAGCATCAGAATGGACACATTTGTTATTAAAGGAGAAAAACGAAATGTGGAAAATGCCAGCGAAGGAACGCATACAAACAAGAGTAGTTGCAGCAGTGAAGGTAGGAGAGTGCTGGACTTTCGGCATCAACTTTCGGTTTGCCCATCCACTCACTTGAAGATGTTCAGGCAAAAGGAAACACCCATACTACGCAGCAATCATCCTTAATTGCAGAAATGTGACAAAACATCTCTGGTGAGAACCTCAGATTATTCAATTTGAAAGTGCTTTCCATATTTGGATCAAGTCACGCTTCCGTGCGCGTTTTACAGACTGCAATTTACAATCGCAACTTCATTGTGCTATTACTCCTTTCGAGCTGAATTTTACAAAATTGGTCAGCTCAGTTGCCGACAGCTTCAGGTGTTTTATTAATGGTGAGTAGAATTATTTATTTATTTATTTAAATTAATGTAATTAGATATCATAATATTAATTAATATTAAAATTATTATTTATATATTATAATATTATAAATCCTGTTGGTTTGTATTGGTGACGTAATATGTAAATGATATGCGTGTGGCTGTGAGACTTGCACTTGGACCATAGTGTGGCCCAGTGGAAAAAAAGGTTGAGAACCACTGGTTTAAATGATTCGGTTCAGTCGCAATGACTCACTTATTAACAGTGACTTACTGCCACCTACTGGCGTTTTTAACTTCACATTTAAAGTATCCTTTCATTTTTTTAATCATTTCAAACATCAGTTTTATGTTTAAAATATCAAAACATTATTTATGCATTTGTAACTGCAGGTTAAAGTATACCATGTCCCTCAGAGCTGCATTATACAGTGTGTAAATACATCTAAATGCCAGATGTAGCTTCTGTGTTTCCTCTGTATTGCAAAGAAAAATGTTGATATGGATTTCATTTGCTTGGTAACAGCCCAAATGCAAGAATTTGACTCAAAAGATGATGCACACTTTTAGAAAAAATGGCTTAAAGGTAAAAATGCCCATAAAACTTATGATTAATTAATAATAAAAAAAAAAGATTAATTTCTATCCCTGCTGTGAACTGACCACACAGAATATGAAGAATATCAAAAAATTCAGGAGTCAGCTGTCCACGGTAGTCCTTAAGATATCAGCACAATAGCACACTCAGCAAAATACAGTATAATCTAATTATCGTTATCCATAAAATCCCAGAAAATATCAAGATATCATTTTTGGTCAATATCGCACACCCCTAATTTATGTTATTTAATTTATATAACAATTTATTAATAATAATTGTTTAAATGAATATAATAATTAATACTTTTGACTCATCCATTTTCTTAAAAATGGTTTAAAGGCTGAAATGTAAAGTTTATCATTTATAAAACTTTTTGTTTTTCTGAAAACTTGTATCTGAACTGTAAATTATGCTTTTTACAGTAATTTTACAGTTTAATATGCTACTCGTTGCCCTACCCCGCTCATATGGTATTAATTTGATCTGTGCAAGTCTTAAAAAAGGTCTTAAAAAGTCTTAAATTCGAGCTTAAAAATCCTGCAGAAACCCTGGAGAAGCAAGCAAGCGTCCTTCACTGTCAATATTTGTCCTTTTCTTGCTACTGTGGTCATCGCGTCCTGTCGATACTAGGTGAAAAGGTGCAAGGCCCTCGGT